ATACTATATTACCAAATTAATGATTGTCCCTTTTCTACAGAACTAATACGTTATGCCTTACTACTGTACTATATGTCTCAACAAGCGTAGAAATTACTTTTGGAGAAATTTCCATTACCATCTTTTTCTTTAATAACTTTTTTTGTTTGTTTACAATCTTTTATTATGTTCTGTTTAAAAAAAGAGAGAAAAAATATCCTGTTTGTGTATTTTTTAGATGGTTTTTAATATGTTTTAGATAAAAGAGACATAAGTTGACTATTAACCAAATAGATCTGTTATAAATTAGCCTGAAATGTAACATGTGAGGTCATATATATTAGTAGGCCGTGGCCTTTTTGTTTTCATTTTCTGTAAAACTTTGTCGTCACTTGCATATTCAGTTCTTGCTATTCTCAGCATCATTCTGTAGAACCATATTTCTATTGCTTCAAGTCTCTTTTTCATCTCTGAGAAGGACCAATGTTACACAAAAGTTCAATACTCTTTTCTTCCTAACAAAATTTTCCTGGTCTACATGAGGGAAAACAAGAAAGATGATAGCAGCCTCTCTCTCTCTCATCTCTCCTCACTCACTATTGTTATAGACAAGCGTATGGTTGCAAGAAAGAAATACGACAACAGCAGAAATAGATTTACGTGGTTTATTTCAACAGGAACGTGTGTGTTTGGGACAGCTACCTTGTGGTAAAGTTCATAAGCCGGCTTCGGATCTAGGTCAACCTCTCATAGTAGTTCACACATGTTGACGGTGGTTGATGCTCCCCTGCTGTCAGCAGCTGAATGTGACAGGTCTCTACTCTGGGCACCTGTAGACTGACTGTTCAACTTCCATGTGACCCCTTTTATAGCGATTTTTTTTTTTTATGGCTCAACAGGCTCGAAAACAAAGCGAGTATAATTAGGAGGGAAGCATTTTTATTGGACAAAAAATAGAGCACTTTAAATATTATTTTATTTTTCGACCGGAACACGTGTGTCGGGAACATTTGTAAACAAAGATAATGGTCATTTTGTGATGGAGCTTTGTCCCGTTTACATCCGGTTCTCTCGCTCTTGAGTATTTGCCTGTAAATCAGCCGAGATATGTCTTATTTTATCTTATAACACTATGATCAAAATCAATTAAAGAGGCTGTTTTATTCCAATTGTTGTTGCATGTCTTCATAATAGGTAAATAAACACTTTTTATTGACTATTGAATTTTTATTCAGAAATCCTATACATTACTCTGATGATAATGTAATATTGCAGGAGAATTTTTTGTATATTCTTGCATACAAAGATTTTGGTTCTTATCACAGATTTTTAATTTCAAACATTTAATTATATATCTCTAAATTAATGAAAATAGGGAAAATGATTATATCAGAATCCGTGAAGAACATATTATCTTTAACTTTTATCATCAAAATCTTCCTGCTATTAAGAGGAATGATCAAAAGATTTTATAATTTAAAATGTTTTAAATCCTTTTTAGAACTTTTAAAATTTTGGTTAAAAAAAATCTTGTTTTTCTGGCATCAACGTGGAACTATAAATTAGTACACAAAATTTGAGCATCTTTTTTTTTTTTTATGAAAAACACATTGATTTGGAAATTCTTACAAAAATCAGATAATTCTCTTATTTTAATGACACTTTTGGGATGTATTCACATATTATTTTTTAAATGTTACTTTTTTTTATAAAATTTTGGTAAAAAATATATTTTTTTTTACATGTTACCCTCCCCTCTTTTTTTTATCTAACTCAGACACTCACATACCCACACAGTCTTATTTAATTTCATAAAATTTTGGGAAATTATTCTTGTAGCATTTAATGTTTATATTAGTTAATAAACACAAGTTCTTGGAGAATTTAAATCAATTTTTTTTTTATCAAGCACCACCCCCAATTACAGAAGATCTGCTCTGAATTGTAAAATAAAAACTGCAATAAAACTAAGACATTATTTCATTAGAAAAGTTTTAATTGCATTTATGAATAAAATAAAAACATTGTCTCATGAAAAAGAAAATTCTTTTTGATTAATGATGTATTTTGCAAGATTTTTTTCATTTTTATTTTAACTTTTAATAAAGAATAATTTGCAGACTTTGAATGTGGTCAAATGATATTGTTATTAAATAAAAAGTATATTTACTAATCATAAATGGGAAAGCTTATTACAACTCATCACCCCCACCCCAGTAATTTAAAAAGAATTTTGATTTTTTACTGTGTGTATATAGACATGCTGACCTTTGTAAATATGGATGTCGATACATGACATAAGCAGAAAATAAGAGCAGTAACTATAGTAAATTTAAAATGTATTGTTAATTTTCTAACATTTCCTCAACAAGCATCTTTGTAAATAAGGCTATATAGCCAAAGTAGCTAAAATTCAATAAAATATTATAATGCTCAAAATATTTAAAATTTTTAAGATTACTTGATAGTTCAAAAATTTTATAAACGGTATTTACATTATATTCATCACGTTTTTACTTTTTTTATTAATTAAATTTTAAATCAACTGGTTTTTCTAAAAGTTTCAGAAAATTATATTTTATTTTTGAAAGGAGTTTTAGAAAAGATTGTTGTATTGTCAGATTTGTCAATATGGACAATTTAATCAATTTTACCAATCAGAAAAAAAATCCAATCAATTTAAAATCAGTTTGAAATACAGCAAAGTATTTTACTTATTCGAAATGTTAAATTTAATCAATTACTCTGAAATTAAAACTAAAATAAAAGCTTTAAAAAACTGTTTGCATTTTAAACGTTAGATACTGCATTTTTCAAGTATGTTTGTATTATATATATATATATAAAATATAGTCACATGTGTGGCAAAAAAATAAGATGAAGAGAAGGGAATGACAAGACCAACTAAGTTTTATTGTAAACAAAAAAGTTATAATTTAGTGATTATGTTTGGTGGCTAAAAAGGAAAAAAAAAAAACATGAAGCCTATACTTCAAAATATTTTCAGTTGGGATTTGCTGGATTTTTGTTGTATAGTTTACATGTCAGGTCAGTGTATGGTAATAAATGAACTGCTCTGAAGCAGATTTCTACAACAACTAACTTAGCCAGCCAATTCACTTAATTTTGGCACCAACCAATGAATACAAATACCCAGATGAAAGACTTCCCTTTTTTTCTGTTTTTTCTTGCTTTTTCACAAGTTTTTTATATAACAACTAACTGTACCATTAGTAACAGATTCAAATCCTCCAAAATGAGAAAAATCCTAATCAACAATGCTAAAATCCTCTACAAAAACAAATGCAAAAAATGCTTACAAATTCTTAAAGCCATCACAAAAACCAAAAATCCAACATAAATAAAATAGGATTTAATACTGGTAGTAATATCTTAAACATATGTAATAACTAATCCTCCAAATAATAAATACCAATCCCCTCTCAACTGCTAATGTACTAATCCAACAACATTGCCTAAATACCCAAAATATTATCTATAAAATAATAAGCAACCTACTTCAAACCAAAACATAAAGCCATGATGATAGTTGATAGACAACTGAAACTGCTCAGCAAAACACCAAGGACTAGGGTCTTTTTTCAACAACTTAAACCCAAATATAAAAAAAATCTTGCGCAAAAGCAAGAAAAACATAAAAAGATTATTAAACGGAAAAGTTTTGTAGTCTTAAACAACACATGCCTCAATATATATATATATATATAGGCAGGTTCATGTTTGTTTATATATATTTATATAGACATGAACCTGCCTACATATATTCAAAAATGAATTTTAAAAGGTGTTCATAATCTAGTATTCTTTGAGAATAATTTCAATGAATCTTTTATAAAATTGCATAAGGTTAAATTTTGTTGTGCCTCCATCTTACAGCACTATAACAAAGCATCTTGGCTCATACCACTAATATATATTTAGCCCCCGCCACGAGGGTTGCATGTGGTGCAAGGCCGGGTTTAACGTGGGTTCCCTGAGCTTCTGGTGTTTTCGAAGGATTTTGTTTTTTTGTGGACTACTCTTCTCCAATTGGTTCTTTCTGCAGCTTTCCTTTCCCAATTGACAGAGCCTTGAATTGACAATGTGGGACTCCATGGGATCTCTTAACAAATGCAAGCTCTGAGAAGAGGATTTGTTTGGGTAGGTGGCATTCTGAAATTCAGGCAAGGTGTCTGGCACATCAAAGTCAGTGGTGAGTCATGATTGTTTCTAGGCTCTATAATAATAATAGTATGTATTTAACAAAATAGTAATTTCATATATGATGTCATTATTAATGACATGAGTAAACTAATATTAAAATAAGATTATACCTGACATAAACTAAAAGATCAGTTTCATATTATTATTAGCTAATAAAATGGATCCCAGAATTGCTACATAGTAATTACAAAAAATGTAATTAAAAACTCAGATGGAAAACTGTCAAATGGACTTAGTATAATGATGAAAAGAACTTCAGAAAATAGATATCCTGTAAAAAAAATGTTTCAAATAGAAATTTTAGAAAGGTAAGGGAACTTCTACAACAACTTATTTTTCTCTGTTCATAGAATGTGTATTTTACTAGTTGAAAAAAATACAATTAAACAACTTCTATAATGACTTATTCTCTCTGTTTGTAGAACAGGTATTTGGCTAGTAAATATAAAATGTAAGAAATAATCAGATCTGTTTCGAAAGGTTCTTCAGAAAATGTTCTTTAGTCAATGCAATCAAAAAGTCTGTGCAGACAAGGAGGGCACTTGAAGATAACAAATCAACTAATAAGGAATAGTGTTGTTGCTATTGTTAGTGATCGTTTCTTGAATGTCTGTCTATATGCAATGATGGGTCTCTTATGACTGTGTAGGCTTGATTATAATAAAGTGATAATTAGTTTTGATTGCTGTCATTATTGGTGATAGTGTCTGATTGCTCTCAGAATAGACCCTACCCCACTTGTGATCAAAAAGTGATACACAAAAAGAAATAAAAATATGTTCATGTCGTAGGAAGGGTTAGGGTTGAAAGAAGGTCAAGGGAAGAATAAAAAAAAGATAAGGGAAGGAAAAAGGCAGAAAAGAGAAAAATGGAAATAAGAGAAGGAATAGTGAAAAGAAGGAAGGTAAGAAAAGAAAGAAAAAAGGAAATAGGATGAAGCCAAAACAGAAAAAATTAAAAAAAAAAACAAGAGGAATATAATGGAAGAAAAGGGAAAGCAAAAAGAGTGGAAATGTAATGGAAGAAGGAAGAGAAAAAAGAACTAAAGACAGAAAATATAATGGAAGCAAAAAAGACGGGGAATATAATGGAAGAAAGAAAGCAAGAAAATGGAAGGGGAATATGAAAGATGGAGGGAATAATAATGAAAGAAACAAGATGGAGGAATATAACAAAGCAAGCAAGAAAGATGGAGGGGAATATAACATAATGAAAGAAAGCAAGAAAGATGGAGGGGAATATAACATAATGAAAGCAAGCAAGAAAGATGGAGGGGAATATAACATAATGAAAGCAAGCAAGAAAGATGGAGGGAAATACAAAACAAGCAAGAAAATGAGGGGGAAAAAACAAGCAAGAAAGATGGATGGGGGAATATAACATAATGAAAGCAAGAAAGCAAGAAAGATGGAGGAATATAACATAACAATAATGGAGGGAATAAGCTGAAAGCAAGAAAGATGGAGGGGAATATAACATGCTGAAAGCAAGAAAGATGGAGGGGAATATAACATGCTGAAAGCAAGAAAGATGGAGGGGAATATAACATGCTGAAAGCAAGAAAGATGGAGGGGAATATAACATGAAAGCAAAGAAAGATGGGGAATATAACATGCTGAAAGCAAGAAAGATGGAGGGGAATATAACATGCTGAAAGCAAGAAAGATGGAGGGGAATATAACATGCTGAAAGCAAGAAAGATGGAGGGGAATATAACATGCTGAAAGCAAGAAAGATGGAGGGGAATATAACAATGAATGAAAGAAAGGAAGAAAGATGGAGGGGAATATAACAATGAATGAAAGAAAGGAAGAAAGATGGAGGGGAATATAACATAATGAAAGAAAGCTAGAAAGATGGAGGAGAATATAACATAATGAAAGAAAGCAAGAAAGAGGGAAATATAATGGATGAAAAAAAAAAGATGGAAAAAAAAGAAATAGAACATTCATAGTGTGTGACTAACAAAGGGAATAGGGCAGAATGAGAGAAAAAAGCAAAGAAGAAAATATAAAAGAATGGTGTACTGAAGAGTCAGTAGAAAGAGTGGAGAGAGAAAAGAATGAAAAGCTGGTTAAGGAAAAGCATGAGGAAACCAGACAAAAGAAAGCTTTGAATTAAAAAGATTGCAATATTATTTTCATGACCAAAGAAAGAAAATAATAAGTATAGTTTACAAAAGCAAGTAAAAAGGAAGATAGAACAAAAGAAAGAGAAAAAAAAATACAAAGAAAGATTAAAAAGAAAAAGTATGAAAAGTAGTGTGAAGGTAAATTAACACAAGAAAAGGAAGCAAGAAAGGAATAAAGTGATGTCAAAAAATAGAAACAAAAGAGAAAGAACCTTCTAAAGAGGAATATGGCAGAGGGAGAGAAACTGATTGACTTTCTTAATATTGAACTATAAAAGTTCTTGATTGAGTGATGGGGAAGGTCAGTTATTTTTTCTAATGATTCATTTTTAATCAATCAGCAGGTCAACTGTTGGCAATTAAGATAGGAACTGTATTCAGACAATTAAAGCAAAATTAAAGGGAATTGCTTTTCTTAATTGTTCGTTGATTGCTCAACAAAATGTCAGACACATACATGTACAATGTAACTGCATATGTAATTCCACACATATTTCACTAACATATACATATGATACATGTGTGGATTATATTATATTCATATATTGACATATATAGGAGTGTTAATCTCCTTTCCTTCAAGCATTTGTGTGTAAAGAAAGTGTATGTTCTAACAATGTTTCTCTACCGACTGATGATGGATTTCTCTTTACATATGCAATGCTTATTTATATAAGAAATTTGTAAGAATAGATGTGAGAAGTTTTCAGATATATTAAAAGATAAATAGAGTATATTTTGCATGTAGATGTGTCGATGAATTTATAAACAGACAAAAAGAGAACATGATGGATGGACAGGCAGTTACAAAGGAGACTTCAGATGGCCAGATTCTTAATGAGAAAAAACTGCATGAAAGACAAGTGTATAATCTGAACTGTGCATATATTTTTGCTAATTACATCCAACTAATCTATTCATCTTCAGGGGTTAAAGTTTTATTCTACTGGGGATTAGATGAAGATGTTATTTCTATGGTATTTTTTTTTTTTTTTAACAAATTTTAAATAACTGTTCCATATTTTTCTATTGCAAGTTTTTAAAATTATTACTTTTAATATTCAACCATTATTTTTTTAACAATTAATGTTATATGATATTTTTCATGTTTTAGTTTTTTTTTTGTTTTTTTTTAAATATCTCTTAGGTATTAGTTGGAATGTGAT